AGCATTTACCAGAGAACACCTGGATTGGCAAATTAGCCACTGCCGCCCTGTTCTCTTCAGAAAGCAGGTTCACACTGCGTACATCTGGAGACACACCAGAGAGTGATCCACGGCCTGAAACATCCTCCAGCATGACCGGTTTGGTAGTGGGTCAGTAATAGTGTGGGGTGGCATTTCTTTGGAGGGACACACAGCCCTCCATGTTCTCGCCTGAGGTAGTATGGCCGAGATGAGATCCTCAGACCCATGTTAGACCATATGCTGCTGCAGTTGGTGCTAGGTTCCTCTTAATGCAGGACAATAGTAGACCTTATGTGGCTGTAGTGTGTCAGCAGTTCCTGCAAGATGAAGGCATTGAAGCTATGGACTGGCCTGCCCGTTCCCCAGACCTGAATCTGAGCAAATCTAAGACATCATGCCTCGATCCATTCACCAACGTCATGTTGCACCACAGACTGTCCAGGAGTTGGTGGAGGCTTTAGTCCTGGTCTGGGAAGAGATCCCTCAGGTGACCACCCTCCACCTCTTACGGGAGCATGCTCAGGACATTACATCAAAGTTGAATCAGCCTGCAGTGTGTTTTTCTACTTTAATTTTGTAAACGCCTCCAAACCCAGGCCTCTTTTTGTTAAAAAGCTTTATTTCAGTTGTTGATGTTTGTGTGATTTAGCCGTCAGCACATTTGACTTTTTAGAGAACAAAGTATTCCATGATATTATATATATATGAATATTTCATTCATTTGCATCTAGGATGTGTTATTTGAGTGTTTCCTTTATTTTTAGCAGTATATAAATAACTATATTTTGATGCTCTGTGAGTAAATGTATTCACAGGGTTACCTCTCATCCACTGACTGCTCAGCTCTCCATGAGTAAGCCCATACGGTAACTGGATCACATCATGGTTTTGCATTTTGATGGTTTAATTGTGAATTGATCCTTACAGTATCTTATACTTCAGGTCAAACTTTTATTTAATTATTCCTCCCATTATTTTATACAGACTCTCTTAATCCTAGACAGGTTAAATAGGCCAGCTTCCTTAGGGATCCATTCCTTGGTCTGTCCAGGCATGTTCAGGTGGATCTTTGTGCCTTCCTGCTCCTGAAGCTATATATATATATATATATATATATATATTTTTGTTATCTTGGCTTTGTTGTTTCAGGTCATTGTTTTGAAAGATGAATTATCCCAAAACACTTTGAAGACTGTTTTCTGAAAGAGTCTCTTTGTATTTGACTGTCATCTTGCCATCTATACAAGAAAAAAAAAAACACATCCCACAGCATTAGGCTGGCATCACCATGCTACACATTTGGGGTGATGAGACACAGATACAATATTCATGCCTTAAGCTATGCTCTAGTTTCATTTGACAAAATGATCTTGTTTTTCCTGTTCAGACATTCTTATGTGGTTTTTGGCTAAATTAAAGGCGTGGCTTTTCTGGATGCTTGGTTTTATCAGACAGGCCAGATCTAGTGGGAATCATTTCCCTCTATCATCTGGAGCCATTTATCTTATGACTCTTGCAGCTTGGCTCCAGTGCTCACTGAGTAACAGGAAAGTTAAACCCTGGACAGCTTGCTGCCACATCTAAAGGGTAACATTTATTTTGAACTGATAAAAACAAAAACATTTGATTTTGGCAAAATTCTTTGTATCCATCCACGGGTCTCTTCTGGTTTGCCCTCTGCTTAGATAGACTGAATAAGAATCCAGAGAAGTATTTGTCATTATATGCCCGTCAAGAAAATTTGTCAGAACAATTGGTTTATAATATT